CTGCTCGGACTGGCCGGGCTCAGTCCCGTGCCGGGTTTGCTGGGGCCATGGCACGGCGCTGGGCATGAGCTGGGTGCGACCGGCCCTCGGTACTAAGCGCTGCTGGGCGTGGGCCCTGGCATGACTGATGCCACTAGGTGCGGCTGGGCACGACCGAGAGACACTAAGGGTGTTGGCGCGCTGCTGGGCACGACCAAACACGAGGGACGCAGGAACTGACGCGTACCCGGGCTGACTGGGCACTGGGTGTGCGACTGGCACGACCCGAGTGCGTCTGGCACGAGGACTGACACGGCCAGGCACTACTCGCGTGGACTCGGGCGCGGCTAAGGTTGTCAGGGTGCTGCCGGGCAACCCTTGGCACGCGGGCGTGCTGCTGGCCACGTCCCGGGCCAACTGACTGCTCGGGCGTGCTGCTGGGCACATCCCGGGGCCTCTGAACCTGACTCGGGGTCACTAGGGCATGGCACTGAACACTCGAGTGCGCTGCTGGCACGACCCGTGGTCGACTCCGCATGGCACGAGCGACTGGCTCGGGATCACACGTACATGACACTGGGACAGCGCTGCCGGGCGCTGTCGGAGGTGCTCTGGCGCGACTGGCGCTGAGACCTCGCTGGCTGGCACAGACAGGCGCTGTTGGGCGCTGTCTCGTGCGCTGGGACTGCGGTGCCTCGCGAGCACTAGGCGCGGGCACGGACAGAGGCACTGCCTGGCCCTTGTGACGCGGCACGGGCACGGCACGTGCGACTGGCGCGGCTGGTGACCCTAGCCGGTCCTTGCCGGACTTCCGGCCACTTTTCTATGGACTACTGAACCATACCAACATAATATGACATAATATACTCAAAAATGCCAAAAGTCCCTGAGAGACCTCAGTTGGATTTGGTGGTGGGCTTATAGGGCCGATTAGGCACGAGGCCACCCTAGGGCACAAAAATGAACATGCTCAACATGCAAGATGACTTAGGGCCGAATAAACTACATCAAAAATCATGGCTAATGAGGCTAGGACATTGGCTATAACATGCATGCACATATACTTAGGTTCGGGGGTGAAAATGGCTTGATTTCACATATCAAATTGACCGAACATATGAACTCAAAACATGCTAATCTTTTAACCATGTCATACTCATGATTTTTGAGGATTTTTAAGCCATCAAACTCGGCCATATCATGCATGCATCATAAAATTCGAATTTAAGGGACTAAACTTCAATAGTTCAAAACTCCACTTTAAATGCGAGCATGGCTTCATTTCTTTACATGATAAATCTTAAAATATCATGTATATGCTGGGAAAAATGGGTAACACGAGCTAACCTTCAGCAAAGAACGAAAATGGTGTTGGTGACCTTTACTCGTGTCTCTTAGTGCCTTCACGAGTTAAGGCTTGTTCCAATGGCTAAAGGCTGCAAAGGATGGATTCTGGGAACTCCTAATAATTCACAAAACACTTTGGAATGGCTGAGCCCCGAGAGAAAATGGCTGGAACAAGGTGGACACGAGCACTTCTCTTCCCCAGGGTCACACGCGCGCGGCTTGGCTTTAGGACCTAGCTCTCGGTTTCTCTTGCCTTCCCACAAATATGCTGAGTGTTTAAAAGTGTCCAAGAGCTCAAAGTGGACTGAGGAGTGTCCCTTTTATGATGGGAGGGGCGGAGCTTCTTAGGTGAGCAAATGAGGGACAAAACATCACATGAGCATGGAAAAATGGGGAGGTCTTGGGTGGACTTGGTCTTGGTCCCCATGAGCTGACTTTGCACGATTTTTGGGGGAATAATCAGAGCATCTTGGATTAGAAATAGGCCCTGGTCAGACTGGTGCACATGTGGGGACAAGGTATGACACAAGGTAATATTATATTCCATGCACATGTCTCACATTTGGACTCACTTGCAATGCTTAAGGCTTGATCTTCATTAGGGCTAATTAGGCTTAATTAAACCCTCATTAACCTGCTAAAACATGCATGAATTGGGCCATGGAAATTGGGCCACAAAACAATCCACATTGGGCCAAAGGATTGGACCCGCGCGCTGCCAGCGCTGGGCCTGGGCGCTGCTGGGCCCTGTGCGCGGGAACTGCTGTCCTAGGCTGCGCGCGAGAATTACTTGGCCCAAGTAATATCCCCATGCTAGGCTGAACTTAAGTGTTCAAAACACTTAGAAAAATCCTAGAAAAACATGGCCAAGACTTGGGCTCATGCAAGTACGCGCGAGGACTAGGCGCGGGTACTAGGGCGCGACATTGGCCCGGGCTCGGTATACACTTGGACCGAGGCTAACCCTTGGCTATGGCTGAAAAATGGCCACACTTAGGTGCCACAAGACTTAGGAAAATTCCCTTAACACTCGGTCATGACTTGGTGCGGACTCGGCACGGCTTTGGCCAGAACTTGCGAACCATAGGCGCGAGTGATCTCGGGGACACGCACGAGCTAGGTGCGGTATGCTTGACCGAGGGAATAACATCCAAGGCTTGACAAACATGATCTTATACTTAGAAAATATTCTAAGTAAGGCTATGAGCATGGCTAGGGCTCGAACAAGACTCGAGACTACTAGGGCTCGAGAATTGGCTAGGCGCGAACTAGGCGCGATACTCGTGACCGAACAACTCAGTTCCGGACACGGCTAGACCTAGACGATTTATCGAAACATACTCGGTTTCGATTATTCGTCAACTGAAATAATTAATTCCGACTGAAATAAAATCCATTGATAAGATAAATGGACCGAAATTAATAACTGGGGTTGAATAGCTGATAACTGGGCTCGGAACTCAAGACGAGCAGTATTAATAAAAAGAAATAGTTCAACTGGGAACTAAAAACTATCATTTTTATTAATACAGAACTGGGCTATTACAATCTATCTCCCTTAAAAAAATATTTTCGTCCTCGAAAATACTACAACTGGAGAAATACATACAAGAACTGGAAATATATACAACTAGGTACATAACAGAACTGAAAATCGGGGAAACGAGCTCTGATGTATGCCTCGCGCTCCCAAGTGGCATCTGAATCTCCGTGGCAATTCCATCTGATACGAACGAGGGGAACATCTCGGTTCGTGAGTCGAAGGACCTTTTGATCCAGAACTGCTACTGGCTGCTCCTCGTAAGTCAAATCTGGCTGAAGCTGAATCTCGCTGTGCTGAAGCACATGCTCGGGATCGCACACGTATGGGCGTAGCATCGAAACGTGGAACACATTGTGCAGGACAGCCAACTCGGGAGGCAGACCTAATCGATAGGCGACTTCGCCCACTCGCTCGAGAATCTCGAACGGGCCTATATAGCGAGGATGCAACTTCCCTTTCTTTAATCCTAAGCTGATAAAATGAGAACACAAGAGAATAGGGGCACCAAAGCCTCCACTTTCCGGCTTATGTACGGGTCCGAAGCAGTGACACCGGAAGAAGCGAAGCGAAGCGAAGTGAAGTCCCTGGAGGGCTTGTGAGTCTCGACTAAAAGGAATAATAACATATTTAACTTATCGACTACAAATTAACTTTTCAAATAAATTTATCAAACATACACTAGATGCATTATTAGATTTATTAAACATACAACAAGATCTATCAAATATTTCATCAGATTTATCAAACGTACAAGAAGATCTATCAAATTTTTCATTACGTAAGCACATTGCTTATCCCATTTATAAATATTGAGTTTTGAGATAAGACTAATCCTGGAATCCAACATATGTAGCGGTCCGTTGGTTTCATATATGAGAGATTCAAATAAGAAATTTCTAAGCCATTTGTATGTGAAATAACGCATTACCAACTGCAAAATTATCACCTACTTTAATAAGAGTAAAGCGTGTTTTACACTTCCATGAAAAATGCAACAATAAGGGAAAAGAAA